TTATCATTAAATATTATATTTAAAACATTCGCAATGTGTTCTTACGGCGGTACTACTGGAACATTCAATGTTACACTTCATGGCCATTCCCTGAAAAGCGACAATTTTATAGAGCTTCGGAGATAATAAAGTCTGCATTTAACAGATTAACAAATTTAATGAGAAGGCAACATATTATAAGGGTGAATAAACAGTATTCAAGTACAGAATACTGGAACCACCGGAAAATACTTACCGTAGACGAGCAAACAACAAGAAAGGGCACAAACAAAAGTGTCAACATAACAGTTTAAAGAAAAAAGACATGCATCTAATGAACAAAGAGGGGCGCCGCCTTGGAACGGTCAGCAGCATAAGCATTGTTGGGGAGTTTAAACCGGTCAATGGTGCACCAACCCTAACTCTTAGCCACACCATGTACCTTGAAAACGAGACATTGTAAATGAAATGAATCCCAAGCAAAATTCTAACAAATGCTATGGTTACCAAAGTTGAAATAAGTAAAACACAGAAAAGATAAAAGTAAAACAAATGACTATAACAAAAGTTCTCAATGTCAGACAAAGCAACAAGAAAATCACCTACAACTGCTCGAAGAAGAAAACCATAACAATGTCGTGCTGGACGATCTTCAATAATCGGAAATATGCATGTTATTCCCTTGCAAAAGCTCAAAATAAAGAGAATACACATTCAATGATACTAATCGTTCCTTTTTGAAATACTTTAAAATGATTCACACGATCACTATTGAATTTGAAGATTAAATGAATGTGGGCAATTTCAATTACATATCGCTTTCGAAAGCAATACAAACGAAAAAGGTTCTTCAAAATCTTCAAACTCTCTTTGTAATATTCATATAATTATAATTCTAATTGTAGTTTATAAATTTTAATTGCCTGAAACATTAAATAGAATTTCATAAAATCCCTTAGTTTTCATATTTAATGCCTTACCGAATTCTGCACAATCATTTCCATTAGACACAAGCATTCCCTCTTTATGATATCAGTAACACACGTAATATGAAAACTGTTACACACTGATCTCTAGGCAATAGGATAAAATGACAAAGATTTGCGACTTAAATCGTTCTTAGAAAGTCCATAAAGTCGCAAAATATTAGTATGCTTCAGGAAACGAAAGATTTACAAATGAAAATATTTGCCGTTGATTCTAAACATTTAAGTATATTCTATTGAAAATGATCTATTTGTAGCTTACACAGTTATTTATAACAATTTTTAAACATTAAAGAATACTTTCAAAATATCTATATAAAAGGAATATGCTTGTATATGCTGGCGCTATCACATTTAATTATTGTTAAACGTTTAGAACCTTCCTTAAAAAGCAGTTTTGTATTTTGTTTAGGAACATATCATTCTTTTCAAGTGCAATATTCATCTGTATAAAATAACAGAGACGTTCTAGTATATATAATTATGTTACATCTCCTTTGAGAGTTGACCATAAGCTTTTAAAAATAACATAATTTTTCCACTTTTTAATTTTACGATAATATTGTAATATGACTGTGTTAATTTATAATTCTTGTATGATTCATTTAACAAATTGTCAATCTTTTTATTTATATTTTATGTCATTTCAAGGGCAAATACCGCAGACATAAGTCTTTTAAACCGTTTGTATTATTGATTAATTTGCACATATCGATGAAACATGATCGATCCTTTACGAATTTTGATGATTCAGAAGCATGTTTCTTTGACAGACAGCGTTGGTTTATTTTAGAAAATTAATTGAAACTTTCTATTCATTTCGTCACATAATAACAGATAAAAGTACATATGTTGATTGGATAACAAATGAATAATCATATTTTTTAAAAACGTAATTAACATCATTTTAAGTAAAGAAGAAGCACTATTCATTATCAATTCTTGAAATATTAGATAAATGCATGAACTCAAGTCAGGTACATGGAAATTAGGAAATAATCAGGCCTTGCTTACCTTGATTAGAAGGGTAAATAACTCAAAATAAAGTCGGTGATCTTTATATTTTTATTCGCTTAGAATTGTTTCTATTATTATTTTGTAATGTTAAGTTTTAACAATTCTATTGAGTAGGTTTCATTCTGCTATATGTCTATATGCAAACTTAGCATACAACTTTAAGAATAAAATATTGAAATTTTGTATGCATTTCTGCTAAATAGGTATGATCAAAGCAATAGATAACAGGTCTAATATGGATCTTCATCTATGAGTTTCGGAAGAATGTCTTTCAGACAACCGGTATCATGGCTGGTCATGTGTCAAAAGTGTTTTAAAACGATTTGCGCGTTAACGATGTGGACTGCATTAATATGTAATTAAAATGTATTTAGGTACCGTTAAATTTTCTATTAACTTTAAAACAATAATAACAATAATAAATACATACTAGATTTTAAATGTTGCTTTTTCACATTATCTCCCATAAACAGACTCAATCAATTCGAGTCTTTACAATTTTGTGGTTTTCTTTGCTTGTTTGGGATCCATCATTTTCTTTATTTTATGCTTTAGCAGCAGGTGTCCCGTGTCGTGTGACAGTTTTAAAAAACTTTCTGCATTCATTATAGTGTAGTTATATTGATTCCAGCACATTACGTGTTTGAAATTGAATACCGATTAAATTGGTGCTAAGGGCATAAGAGTTGTTGCATATTAACATTTTCTATTATCAAAAGACTCAATCAAACGAAGTTTGCAGCTTCTAATATTATGCGTATGCGTTACTTTTTCCAAAAGTTTTTTGTCTCCATTCTTTTAATCAAATTAAGCAAATAATTGTAAATAACAAACAACAGATTCTAAAGTTTGCTGAATTGAATCAAAATATTATTACAATAGCTTTAAAACACTCAACAAGATCGACTTGAGAACATAAATCAGATACATAAAAAGGTTGAAAGTTGCTTAACAGTTATGACGAAATTAAAAAAAAATATATTATATCCAATCAAGCAACTGAATGCATTAATTCATACATAGTTTTGTTCTTTCACGCATAGATCTAATTTATAGTAAAATGAGAATATCGTTACTAACTAAAGCAAAATAGTTAAAGATTGAAAATGTAAGACATTCATATATTTTACTTATTAACCGATATAATATACGCCAAAATAGCCGAATATACTTCATGCCTAGATGTAAATACTTTTGCATTTGATATAAATATGAATAGGCTCACAAAAATCTATTGGATGCCAAAAGAAAGGAAGCTTGTTATTTCTAAAATATTCAGCAGTGATGAATAATAAAAATTTATATTATTTTCAAAATGATTGTTAAACACAAAATTAATATACATATGCATGGAATTAGTAACTAAGCAGCAATTAAATTTTATGCATTTGTGAGTTTGCTCTTAAACGCATATTTTTGTTGGAATATCGAATCATTACTTAGAAAACTAAAATAGTTAAAAATTTCACTGCTATGATAATTATCACTTTGGAAAGCTTTCATTTGCTTAATGTTTGACGAAATCATCTTTTATATCTATTATACATTTTGAAAAATAATATTTGGACAGTTACTCTGGCTAAATATTACCTTGAAGTTAATACTTTGAAAATAAGAAAGAACAATCATAATACATTAATTTAACAGTTACTGTATATAAATTTCATGTTCATCTGCTTACAAATATATATTTAGAAAATTTAGCAATATTTGTTTGCAAAAGTTTTGATAAAAGAGACAATGCATTGTATCAACGATAACATTGTCCTCTCACTGTGTCATATATAGTACGTATATATTAGATAAGTTATGATGAATAAGAATCGACTTTGTAATATAACTATTTCATATATATCATACTTATATCATGTCATTGATTTTATCATATATATGTATCACATATATAATAGACTAGATATGTTATGATGAATAAGTTTTGACTTTTTAAAAGACCTATTTTATGTATACCATGCTATATCATGCCATTGATGATATGTTACTGCTGATTGTATTATTACTGTGTTCTGATGGGCATATTGCCTTTGTATGAATAAAGTTTATCTATCTATCTTTATTATTTGTTTCATTTTAATTTATTTCAGATTGGAAGAAGTTCCAAAGTGGTAAGAAATAAACTATATTTTTTGTAGTAGCGCCAAGTTTCTTCTAAGTGTTCTTATCATTGTGGCCAGGTAGAAGTTATGTTTAAGTATGAATGACTGCTATCTCAAGTGATGGGAAAGAGAGAATAAAGAAGATGATGAAATCGCAATAGCAAAATACGCAGAAAACAAATTCAAGGTAACGCTTATTAAAGCCTAAGTTCACTGGGCTATTTCGTTTTGACTTGAAACAACTTGACGGTATAATTATTCTTTTACTATTTCATGTAACAATACAGCGTGTCAAAAGATATAAAATATGAATAACAAATGGTTATAAAACATCAAATCGACACTGTTTCACTCATTCATTTCTATTGGTTGAGAAGCTTTGGCTTCGCTGTGATAAAATGTACATTATTTGATATGGTAATACAATAAGAAGAACTACATATGCTACCATAGCAATTATAATGAACTGAATAGAAATATTTTATATAACATTTATTCGCCATTTTACATTTTTTATCGGTACTTGTTATTAACATTTTTATCTGATTCAATTTTAAACCTGCAAAACCTTTTCGGTTTTTTTAAAATTAAAGCTTACATTCAGAAAAATCTTGAATAAAGAAAGAAATACAAATTTATGCTTTTTAACTGTAAAATAGGCGAAAATATGGTGGTTTTACAACTTAAAATATTTATATTTCCAAACCAGTATGGCAAATCCCCCTCAGTTTTAGCACAATAATTTTAATAATTGTATCTAGATAGATGAAGATATAACTATGGCCCTTTGAAAGATAAAAAATATGACATATATTCTGAACCCATCTTTTCTTCTGTTTTATCAATTCAGAAAGATGCCAGTTTTAATTACCTTAATTCCATTTTCAAAAGTACTTTCTTTTCTTTGCTTTTTATATGCCCGAAAGAATTTCGGGCATATTATGTTATACCCCCTGGCGTCCGTCCGTCCGTCCGTCTGTCCGTCCGTCCGTTAGCAATTTGGTTTCCGGAGCATAACTTAAGTTCCATTTGGCCCACAGTATTCAAACTTCATAGGATGATTGTCCATATTGGGTAGAAGACCCCTATTGATTTTGGGGTCACAAGGTCAAAGGTCAAGGTCACTATGACCTTAAAACTGAAAACAGTTTCCGGAGCATAACTTAAGTTCCATTTGGCCCACAGTGTTCAAACTTCATAGGATGATTGTCCATATTGGGTAGAAGACCCCTATTGAATTTGGGGTCACAAGGTCAAAGGTCAAGGTCACTATGACCTTAAAACTGAAAACAGTTTCCGGAGCATAACTTAAGTTCCATTTGGCCCACAGTGTTCAAACTTCATAGGATGATTGTCCATATTGGGTTGAAGACCCCTATTGATTTTGGGGTCACAAGGTCAAAGGTCAAGGTCACTATGACCTTAAAACTGAAAACAGTTTCCGGAGCATAACTTAAGTTCCATTTGGTCCACAGTGTTCAAACTTCATAGTATGATCGTCCATATTGGGAAAAAGACCCCTATTAAATTTGGGGTTACAAGGTCAAAGGTCAAGGTCACTATGACCTTAAAACTGAATACAGTTTCCGGAGGATAACTTTAGTTCCATTTGGCCCACAGTGTTCAAACTTCATAGGATGATTGTCCATATTGGGTAGAAGACCCCTATTGATTTTGGGGTCACAAGGTCAAAGGACAAGGTCACTATTACCTTAAAACTGGAAACAGTATACGGGACATAACTTAAGTTCCATTTGGCCCACAGTGTTCAAACTTCATGGGATGATTGTCAATATTGGGTTGAAGACCCCTATTGATTTTGGGGTCACAAGGTGAAAGGTCAAGGTCACTATTACTTAGAAATTGAAAACAGTTTCTTTAGCATAACTTAAGTTCAATTTGGCCCACAATATTCAAACTTCATAGGATGATTGTCCATATTAGGTAGAAGACTCCTATTGATTTTGGGGTCACAAGGTCAAAGGTCAAGGTCACTATTACCTTAAAACTGAAAACAGTTGTCGGAACATAACTTAAGTTTCATTTGGCCCACTGTGTTTAAACTTCATAGTATGATTGTCCATATTGGGTTGAAGACCCCTATTGATTTTGGGGTCACAAGGTCAAAGGTCAAGGTCACTATTACCTTAGAACTGAAAACAGTTTCCGGGGCATAACTTAAGTTCCATTTGGACCACAATATTGAAACTTTAAAGGAGGATTGTTTTGTGAAGGAGGTAATACTTTATTTAATTCCCATGTCTTACAAATGCTTCATCTTTACTAAAAAAAAAATCACTTTCGGGCATATAATGCTCCGCCTAGCGGTGCTCTTGTTTATAATTTTAAAACTATGGTAGTTTCTGTCCTCTTCTAAAGTTCAATTAAAATGAAATAATTAAAACTTATTTGTTATTGTTCTATGGAACTGGTGCAAATAATACACTTAAATCATCTATTCATTTGTTTAAAGCAAGAGTTAAACTTTTATTATTTTTTGAGTTTATGTTAACAATAAAATGATAAAGTTTGATAATGTAAAGTTTAATAATGTAAAGTTTTAGATTACTATTGGGAATTACCTTAATGGGAATGACAACTAAAATCTTGTTTAAGATGGACGAATATATTCCTTGTTTAGTTAACCATTTAACACCATTTTAAAAACCTGACAAAAATGTTCAGTAGTCAACATTGAAATAGTTTAATTAATATATTATTTAATATATTTCAGATAAAGAAAATATGGAAAAGAGTTTAATTAATTGTACTGTTTACTAGACAAAACTTCTACCGCATATTAATTATCAATAATTTAAAAATACCATATAAAAATTATTATACAATGCATAAATGTATCTGAATTATCTTTTATCAAACTTTATAACTAAAATTAAATAAACACGTAAGTCATAAACGTTATTCATTTTATCTCAGTTACTTTAGATTCTAGCTGTTACCTGTCTTATACAACTATGAATAGGATTTTGTAATCCTCAATTATATCCCCTTCCAAATAAATGAAATTCATTTTCTTTTTAGTCAGTAAAAATTATGAAAAAATGTGTTGAGGTAAGAATAAATATGTAAATTAAAATGCAGGAGACACACATCAGTTTTGAGCACGACACAGCTGTTGAGAAATTATGCACAGTCCGAGAAAAGATGCGCACTTATATAACCACACATGTCCGTAGTTACAATATATTTTAACAATAAATCATTAAAATCAGTGGCATGTATATTTTTTTCCAATGTGCAAACAAAAATTTATCATTATTAAGCAAACAGAAATGATATCATTATTGTCATAATAAACTGTATTTATTGGAGAAAAAGTTTGCAGGAGGTAATTTGTGGTATCGGTGCCAGATTTGATGTCATATGGCGTGCAAATTCATTTTGCTTATTCTATGCATAAATTGTGATATTACAGACATTCGATTCCACCAATTTTTTAAGTAAAGCAATGTTGACGCATGTTAAAATCTTACATTATTTTATATGGCATAAAAATGCTGGAGAAATAAACGGAATGTAGCCTCACTCTACCGTTTTTGACATCTGGCTCTCAGAAAAAGAAAGTCTCAGCTTATTTGAACTAGTTCAACAAATGCAAACAAAATACAGTTAAAATTACAATAACAAAGGTAATGGTTGCAGGTAAACGCACACAATAAAATTTGCTGTCAAAATGCACCCAACAAACTGAAAGGTCACATACTAGTATAAGATTATTATAAAATGATCAGAGAAATGTGATTACAACTGTTGCAGATATTTCTCGTTAAAACAAGGATTGAAATAAAGTTTTTCTGGAAAAGGAAACGTAAATATATGTTTCCCTAAATGCAGTTATATTTTAAACACCAGTTAAAAATATAAACATAACTTATAGTTATACATAAAACAAATACATATACAATACAGATTTTGAAGATATGTTCATAGAGCTTGTACCAGACATTTTTTAAAATTCCTTAACTAATCGTTAATATAAACTTTTGTCTTGCACAAGAATTATCAGATCTTCTTAAAATGTTTTCATTAACTTTGAATGAAAAACAACACTTAAACATTGATAACGTTGAACAGCCTTTGTTTTTTTAAACACGCAGCGAATAGAATAGTGCACAAATGAACCATAAAAATAGCAAAAGATGTCAACTACGCAAAATTACTTGTATTTAATGGGAGAGCCTATAAAAGCACAATGTAAATAACTATTCCCGTTATAAATAAAGTTTCCCGCTTTTTTTTGTTGACGTGAGACTCACAGAAAATATAGCAATAAAATTATATAATCACTGACATGTACATTTTTACCAACTTATTCCAAATACCCGGATGAACGACAGAACTCTTAAACGGACTCGACCATTAGTCCACTAAAATAAAACATTATTTTACTATTTGTATGTGAAATTAAACTTGTCTAAAATCAAAACTTATGACACATATCTTGGCTCGTCATGCAACACATTATTTCAATGTGCCGCATATGTATGCACATTTATATCAAAATTGGTTTACACTATAGTTTTTAAAAGATAATCTAAAGGAGTTAAAATAGTAAAGACAATGTTCAATATTTTATTCAACCTGCAAAAGCTGAATACAACCATTAACGTCTACAAGCTGACACAGTTTGATACTACAAACTGAAAAATAATAACGAAAATTTAATCTTATTTTCTTTTTTTTCTTTTGAGTGTTCATACGTTAAGTGAAGCACACTTGTAATAAGGATATTTTTCTGATTGGTAATTAGTTTTAAAACGGCTAAATTGATTTTCATTTTACAGAAACAAACGATACGTTATGTCCGAGTTGTAATTTTAAGATGTCTGACAAAGTAGAATAATTCATATCAATAAACAAATTTTCTAGATTATTTAGAAGATGATTCACGATTGTTAAGTGAATGCATTTACAAGATTTCACCTAACCCGTTTAAAGGCACGGACGTGCACATCGTAGGACAAGCATTTGTAAACCATCAATACAAAAAGGCAATTTGCATCTCATTGGCGTGTCCAGATAATACTATTTAACACGGAGTTATATCCTGTGTTATTATCCTGAATTTTATCATGTACAAAGACTATTGCTGTTTATGTTGTGATAAATAAAGCCCTAAGTCTCCCGTTGCTGTGTCAGTAATAACCAGTACTCGACGGAGTATATAAATTCAATTAATTGCTTGTTAATAATTTATATAGAAATTTATGAAATTGAATTAGATTATGCATACATGTCTCTTAATTATTTTTGCTTAAGATTTGTAAGTAAAATTGAAAACAAAAAGCACGTAAGTCATAAACGGTATTCATTTTATCTCAGTTACTTGGAACTCATATGTATCCGCTTCAAAATAAATGAATTTCATTTTCTTTTTATTCATTTCAGGACTGGAAGAAAAGAGGAGAGGTAAGAATAAATATTTAAATTCATATGCAGGAAATATATATCAGTTTTGACTACGACAAAATAATGCACAGTCCGAGAACAGCTGTGCACTAATATAACCACGCAGGCCCGAAATTACAAAATGTTTAATAAATAAAGAAATAATCATTCGAAAAATAAAAGGCAGTTTCTTGTAAATTCTTTCCGGTATGCAAACAGAAAATATTTCATTAATAGCATAATATAATTTTTTTTCGGAGAAGCAGTTTGCAGGAGTTAATTTGAGATATTGGTGCCAGATGTGATGTCATACGACGTGTAAACTTTCCTTTTCTTATTCTATACACATCATGATATTACAGACACTCAATTGCTCGATCTGCTTTTCAGAAAAGCAATGTTGACGCATGTTAAACTCTTACATTATCTTATATTTTATAAAACAACTACAGAAAATAACGGAATGTAGCTTCATGCTACTGTTTTTTCTCCTGTGGTTCTCAGAAATAGAAAATCTCAGCTTATTTAAACCTGATCAATAAATGCAACCTCAAAGGAGTTAAAATGATGACTGACTATCCAAGCTAATAGTTTCGGAAAAATTCGCCCGATAAATTGTCTGCAAGCAAAATGCACCCAATGAACTTAAAAGTCATGTTAGGCGAATTGTTATTAAAATAAAAATACTGTCAACTGTAAAAAATGAATAACTACTTGTTTGAAATCGAATGTAAAACTATTAAAGCAAAGAAATCAGCAAACAATTAGATCTATGTATAAAATTGAAAACAAAAAGCACGTAAGTCATAAACGGTATTCATTTTATCTCAGTTACATGGAATTTTAGCTGTTTCCGGTCAAATAAGAAAGTATTATTATTACACATAATTAGAAGAATAGGAATTTGTACTCCTCATATGTATCCGCTTCAAAATAAATGAATTTCATTTTCTTTTTATTCATTTCAGAAATGGAAGAAGAGTTGAACAGAGGTATGTGATTACAATCATTTCAAATATTCCTAATTAAAACATAGATTAGAATAACAAAATAAGATTTCTTTGCGAAAATGAAACATAATTGTATGTTTTGCTCAATGCATAAATGTTTCAAATAAGAGTTAAATATAAATAGAACCTAAAGTTATAATAAGATCAAATACATGTACAAAACAGATTGTTGTGATATATTAAGAGGTTAACTAGACACGTCTTTCTTAATTTTCTTAAACTAATCTTAAATATAAACTTAAGCTTGCACAAGAAATATCGGCTAAAATGTTGTCATTAACTTTAATTTCAAGCTCAACCTTGGTAACGGTGTAAACAACGTTCATTATTTTAGATACG